AGGTCTTTTCTTTTTTATAATTTTTTATTGTAAAGATACACTACAGAGGGGTTACAGTTACATGAATAAGGTAATGGATACATTTCCTATCAAGCTTTGTTACCCCTTTTTGTATTTCCCTTAGTATCCCTTCCTTCCCTATCTCTCCAACTCCTCCCTCCCCCACCCAAAGTTGTAAAGTTCATTTTCAAATAGTGTCTTGCAAGTTTCATTGTTACAATGGGTCAATCTGTATCCTTGTTTCAGCATTTTGTTATTTTCCTTCCACTCCCCAAATTAGAAAAATGTATATACAAGATGCAGGGCACCAGAATCAAATACAGTGACAGCTGGTTATACCATGGAAGAACATACAAAACAAAACAAAAAAATCACATAGTACATTAAAAACAAGAGTGACAAAGAAAAAACCTCTTGTGTCCCTATCTTGGGGTTCATTTCACTTAGCATCATCTGTTTCTAATACATTTGCCTTACTCCACACCAGTGTGTTGAACCTCTCCAAACTTTGTCTTGTGAGTTTTAAAACAAAAACACAATGATATAAAAGCACCATGCTCACCTTCAGTTCTTTTTTTCTAGTTGATGTGATACATTCACAAACTTAAATGAGGTTGGCATCGGTGCTAGGTTAGTTGAAAAATACAAGATTATTAACCTTGTATTAATAACCTCCACCATGAATCCTGGGATACTGTCAGATTCTCAGGTCTGCAGACTGTTCTACATGATAATGACCTTCAAGGTCAGTTTCTTACACTCTCCAGTAATGCTTTAAGTAAGCATATTTTCCATAAATCCTTAGGTTTAACAATGTTTAATCTCTTTTTCTCGAAATAAGAAATCAGAGATGGGGCTGGGAAGTGACCTAGAACCAGGTAACTTTCCTAAAGCTGAGCTGTACCTGAATCCTAATTGAATTTCACTCAGGTTGGCCCTTATCTTCTCATCTGACTTCCAGCTTCTGTTTTGTGAGTCAGAGGGTGAGAGCTGCAAACCAAACCCCAAACCCTCTGATAGTATCATATTGTTCTTTTTCTTAGTCATATTCAACTCAGCCTTGTACTTGTGCATTTCAGTATTTGTTTCTTTTCTACTTCTCCCATATATATATATACACACACTACCTGTTCACATACAAAAATTTAATTTTTTTCCAAAAACAAGTTAGTGGTATTGTTCTAAGACTTTTGTAAGTATTTTTAATGTCTGGCTTCATAGAAGCCAACTGAACTTTCAGTGGTTCTACATCCAGTCTCTGTTCATTGTTTTGGTAAATACATGTGGAAGGCATAGTGCACATGAATACACAGTAGTAGAGAAATGGGGAGGGGGGATATTTTGACATTGTTTTCAGGTAATGGTGCATGTTTTGTTTAGATACTGTTGCCGAAAGGCAACTGTTGGTAATTTCTTGATGATTAGGAGTAATGTAGGATCTGAAATCATGACAGCGAGCATTTTGTTCTCTTAAATGGAGATCCATTGGTCTCTTTTGCACTTTGAATGGACATTTACTGTTTGGAATACCATTATTATAGAGGTTATAGATAGAATCTCATCAAACCCGTTTCCCCCTGTTCAGAAAATGTCGTAGATTCCTTGCCTTGGGGCAAAGAAGGGGAAATAAAGAGGTTGTTCTGGAGATCATTCATTATAAATGAACAGGATGTGGAAGGAAGATCTGAGATATACACACCTACTATCCTACAATTAGTCACTCACTTTGGCTATAGTTTTCATCTAATAAAGATAATTCACACAATCCCAGCACAGTGAACACCTCAACTCTTGTCCTGTATGTTTGACTTATCTTTTAAGACAAAAATCATACTAAATCATCAGGTTTACTTCAGTAATCCTTTATTTTGTTTTCTCCTAGTTGATGTAATTCACAAATTGACATTAGGTTAGCATCATTGCCTGCCATGTTGGTCGAAAACTATGAAGATTATTGATAATTGGATGAAGGAGCCTAGACAAAGATCCTTCTACAATATGACATAATGCTCCATGATCAGCTACCAACATTAACATTAATTTTCAAGGTTTTCTATGGGACCAGTAGTGAAACATTACTTGATTTAAACATACAGCTATAATTATAAGCAGTGTTGTATTCAGATTTGTTCCTTTGGTTTTAATCTCGTGAGATTAAGCTGTCAGATGTTGGTGTCTTTTCATACGTTAGACTATACAGACTTCAACCCCAAGAATAGTAAATATATGCAGGGGAAAAATGACTAGAAAAAATACCAAGGGCGTTGGCAATAATTACTTCTGGTTTGTAGAATTTTCTCCCCTTCTCTTGCATAAATATTAACTACAAAAATATTTACTTGAATATGTGTAGTTGATACATATTCAGTTAAATGAACAAAGCCCTGTCCAGTTTTTATATTTTCTAAAAGTGTGAAATATTTCTGTATTAAGATAAAAATAGCAAGTATTGTCAAAAAAAATGAACTGGGAAAAAACGCTAACTTTTGTTTTCTGCCCTGTAAGTACAATTTAGAAACTATTTTATATTCAGTTATTCTAAATATCACCCAGAAAAATCTCTTCAATGGGCTTAAGTCCAAAGGAAATGAATTAAAACCTCAATGTCCAAAAGAAGATATGGCAGCCATATTTTTTCTAGGTCATGTTTCTACTGGCTTTTCATCTTTGATATTGTTCATTCCTTTACTAGGATCCACACAATGTCTGTGTAGTACCTGTATGGGCCTTCTACCCTTGTTGTTAGTGAAGGCCTGCTACTAACGCGAAGGAAAATCAAAGCATATGGCAGGATTGATACTGTAGGTTAGTAAAATACAAAAATAAACACACACATACACACACACACACACACACACACACACACACACACACACACACCACTTCAAAGCCATGTAGGAAACTAGTTCTGCTCCTAGTCTGAACAAGTAGGACATTGGAAAGTGAACATCTTCTCTTGAGGGCTCACATGCCAACGTGGAAACAAACTTGAAATTTTTTGATGAAAGACCTTTCCCAAAAGGAGTCTTTTTCTTATGTGGCGATATGTTAGGCACTGAATGATAGTGTAGTTATTACATATTAAGGGTTGGTGTTTCAGCCTGAACAAGGAGCTAGCAAAAGGTGGGTGGATTCATGAGCATTTTCGTTGGTGAATCATTGTTAGACTCAATCTGTTCTCTTTTGTTTAATGAATATATAACTACCAAGATTTTGCAGAGAGGTATGACTCTATAGAAACTGTTAGTAAAGTTTCTGTGTGGCCAAGTGTGACATAATACATTTGCAAGAGAAAAAGCATGACTAATTGTAAAGTACCACACTGACTAGTTGTACAGAATAAAGCAGTTGGGAACTATTCCCTGTCATGTTGGAAAGATCTTTTGTAAATCTGTGATTTCCTGAGTCCGATTCCCCTAAATACTCAAGAAATGATTGCACTTCATGAAATATAAAGATCACTTGGAGTTGAGAAGGAAGACAAGAGGTGATGAATTGACTACACCGGATGATGTTAGAGTTCACTAATCGATATTGGAGCAGACTGATAGAATAATGATCAAAGTCTTTAGAGTCTTGACTGTATAACTTGAGTGTGATCAAGACAATGAGTGGCTACTCCTTGGAGGCTGAGAAAGTTTGAAGACACATAAAGGGAATACTGTATCCAGCATGTAGTAAAAAGTAAAATTAGGCAACTTACTAACCCCAGTAGGGATGGTGGAACATGCAAGAGGGTGACAAGAATTTCTTAGTACATAAAAGCAATAGATGAACTGTGGTCCTATATAGCATCACCATCGACATCATCATTAATAATAGTATCTTTAGGTAGTTGTGCAAGAGTTTCAATTTACCAGATTAATTTATGGGTTATGTTACTCCCGTGTACATCTTTTGGTAGTGCTGAGTAACTGATGGTTTGCTGGAAAAAACAAGGTCTAGAAAAGGGGAATTGAAGGAGAGAGCAAGGAAGGGAAGGGATGCCTGTATTCCTTAAGAGATGATAGAAAAGATGACTGTCCATGTTCATGTGTTTGAGCTCAAAAGAATGGAGTTCCAGCTGTTTCCTTCTTCACATTGTTAACGTGTATTATAACATTTTACAAGCAGCAAACTATTTTCATACTTTTATTACAAATAAATGGAAAATGGAAAGCCATAATAAGGTTATTACAAATGTCCTGGATTTGTGAATCTGTAATGAATTATGTACTTAACAAAGAACATTGCTCGATATATTTTATTTCATTATTTTGTTCAGTTTTTTAGTTTCATAAAGGAAACTACCCATTGCTTCTCTATGTCAGTGCTGGAATCGCTTCCCTAGTAGACATCATGTGTTTGAGTTATTTCATCCTTAGCTCAGCAATATACTACTGTAGAACGATTCATTTAGTGTACTTCATCAGTGCACTCATCTGGGTCTCTAGCCTCTATACCTGCCTTCTCTGTAGAATTTTCTACCCCAGCAGCCGGGCTTTTAAAATTTAAGTTCAAGTGCTTTATCTAAAACCATCTACCATATCTAGAGTGATCAGTAAGGCCTTAGTTCCTTTCTCCACACACACGTCTCCTGCCTGTGCTTGACTCATCTGCATGTCCCTTGCTGACCTGGTTTACTTTTCTTAGATGTCCTTATAGCTTATTCCTCTATTCAAACATTTTCTCATCCAGAAGATCATCCCTTACTTTTTTCCCTACCTGTTCCCTTCCTCTTAATGCTTTGCCTCCTTGCATCCAGTTTCAACTTTGGTAGCTCTTTTTGCCATTAGACATGCATTTATTTTTACATTTTAGCATGACTATCTGCCTCTACCAAAATTCACCCTCTACATGCAGTCACCAATACATGATGCTGTGTTTTGTTACTGCCACACTGCCTTGTCTAGGATGATAATTAACACAAAATAGACAACCCTCAGTATGTGTTGAATGAATTCATTCCTGTCTCTCTCTTTTTTTTTTTCATTTTGTGTTCTCACATTTTTGCCTTGCAGAGAAGTTGTAACATTCAACCATTTTCTGGAAGCAGCGGCTGAGAAGGAGGTTCAGGGGAAAGCTCGGCTCCAGGACTTTATTGAGAATCTGTTGCAACGGGTAGAACTAGCAGAAAAGCAGTTAGAGTACTATCAAAGCCAGCAGGCCGTGGGCCTCAGCCGTAACATCAGCGAGCACGTGGTAAGTCCCACTTGTTCAACTGCAGATGTGAGGTCTTAAGCACTGTAGGAATGGGCCAAGGATGGAGGGATGAGTAGCTGGGTGGCTGGTGAAAGCTCTTTAGGTGTCATTTAAAAGCACTGCTTTGTGCATATTTGAGGGACGTGATAGCCAGAGGAAGCTAAATCCTAATTGTGTACTTTACCACTCTTTCCTCCTCTTCCTCCACACCACGCTGAATTGGAAGCAACTTCTTTCATATTTGGAAAATCTGAAATATTTGAAATATAAACTGTGTAATCCTAATGACTCAGAAGGCTGAGACCCAAAGGATCAAGGTTCAAAGTCAGCCTGGGTAGAAATGTCTAAGAGACTCTGTCTCCCATGAACTAGCAAAAAACTAGAACTGCAGACGCGGCTCCAGTGGTAGAGTACTAGCTATGAGCGATTCATAGCTAGTACTCTACATGGAGCAAGAAGGAAAGGCCCAGTGGTCAAGCCTCAGTTAAATCCTAGTCTCTTGGCAGTGTCAGAGCAGGTTTAATCACACTGCAGGTGAGGCAGGTAAGGTCCCATCTTCCTCTATACAGTTCCCAAAGAAAGGATATTTGTATAGCCAGAAATGGTCTATTTGAAATATTTTATTATGTATTGAACTTTATTTTAATTTACCTGCTTCCTAGAAGATTTGGAATAATCCTTTTACTTTCCCCCAAGTGGATTATATTATGAGGGAAAGAATAGGAAGTATTTGTGTTCATCAAAAGAATATAAGGTCGAATTATTTTTTTAAAGTTTGTTTTGAACTTCTGTAAGTTGGGATTAAAAGAGTAATAATGATATAATAAGAAACTAATTATCCAGAAGGAGCAGTGAAATGAAAGGCAGTTGAGTAAGAGAAAGAAGGCAGGATATAGGCAACAAGAAGGCCAAGGAGACAGGAAAGGAGAAGGAAAGAAGAAAATGAAATTTTGCACAATGTTTATTATAAAAATGGACACTCAGCCTTCCAGTAATATAGTATGAGTATGTAAGCTACGGCAATGTCGGGTGAGTATGTAAGCTACAGAGCTTTACATAATCAGAGCAGAACAGAAAAGAATGAACTGGTTCTAGCTCAGGTTTCAGCCCAGTATTCATCTCCAACTACATGATTGATTGACTGTTTCTCAGGTGTGTGTCTGTGACCTTCTATGTGCCATGCTCCTAAGGGGAGATTGTCAGTCCAACAAGTTGTTCTCTTTCTTCCTTGTAAGTCTTGTCAGTGTCTAATCATAGCTACAGGGTATACATCTTGCCTAGATGTAGCTGGAAAAAGACCCAGAATGGGTTCATGATTTCTAGAAGTTTTGGGCAAATTTCTCTTCTCTCTATGTATTGTCCCCTAAACCACACTTCAGACCATAATGTGCTACTTTATGATTTAGTCTACAGACACTATAGACTAAATTTATTTCATAACCTAATTTATTCTGTGATAATATACATCCACGATGAAATGAACCATGTATTTGATATAACCAGAGTGCTTAATGTGGTCTCCTGGGATTGCTATGGCTGCAGATGTACAGAATAACTTGGATGCTTATATCAGGGAAAGCTTTGAATTACGTTTGTTGGCCCAGCTGACCCAGCTTGGTGAAAATATAGAACACCCCAGATCCCAGGATTCTGGGAGCTACCCAGAGTAGCTCCATGCTCAGAGTGTACCAGGATGAACAGACATTCTGCCTGACTGCCTGTCACAACCCCAACCCCTCCTGCTTGCAACACCTGAGCTTCCTCTTCTAAAACAGTCAGAAAAGCTATTCCTGCCTTACTCTCGTGTTATCCAAACCCAGTGTGGATCTTCTTTTCCCCTCACATCGCCTCCTACCTCCCTTCTCGTCTCCTCTTCCCTTTGCCTCCTTTCCACTCCTGAGCGTGGTGGGTGCCATTGCCTGACTGGTAAGTGAGTTACTTCTTTCTAAAGGTGACTTCTAGCCGTACATTCTTCTGTACTGTGGAAAATTTCCATCCCTTCACATTTACTGCCTTACCCGAAATAATGCTTTGGCATCTGTTTCTTTCCCTTAATCCCCTTGAGCATTTATGTTCCTTTTCACCTGGCTGGTTTCTAAAAATACAGTGTGCTTACTCAGATATTTTATCTTTATGCTCTGAAAAATGCTGTCAAATTAGACACAAAGTGACCTAATATACCATCTGCCAAAATCACTCACAGAACTGCTCAAATGGGAAGGTCAGGGAACAGCTTGGATAATCTTGTTTTAAGCATCGCATTTATCCCCTGCAGGTTGCTAATTTAGCGGTACTTTATTTATTTAAGGTGTTGCTTTTAGTAGATGCCGAGGAAACTTCTGTGAGCAAGATAGACAAGGTCCTTGCTCTCAATGAGGAGGGATCATGGTAGGTGAGCAAGTAAACCAAGCCACTCTCACATAGTGGGAGCCACTGTCTAGACAGAAAGTAAGATGGTATGTTTGAGCTGCTCAAGGTGGCCCAGAAGGGGCAGCTTTTGAACTGTGACATGGAGAGCAGACCGAATGAAGCTCTGTAGAAAGTTGAGATAGAATGTTCTAGGCAAAGGAAAGGTGCCTTCAGAGGGAGCTAGCTTGGCATGGTTGAATAGGAAAAGGTAAAGTAAGAAAAGGTGAAAGTTAGGACGGATTTGTCCAGCCAGATCTTCGGGTCATATAACAAGCTTAGATCTATTCCTGAGTGAACAGGGAAGCCATCGGAGGGCATGTCAGACTGGAGGGGAGCCAGAGGAATGGCTGCTGGGTGACAGCATTAGAAGTAGAGACAAGAAATGGGCATATGATGTGTTTTCAGGTAGGCTCTATAAGAACTATTGGCCTTGCTGCTGGAGTAGATTTAGCAGATAAAGGGGGAAAACGGGAATAAAGAGGAATCCAAGGCTTTGCTCTGAATAAGTGGGCATGTGGTGCTGCCATTTATAGAAAGATTCCGTGGGAGAAGATCTAACTGAGTTGGCCAGTTGCCTGAAACCTATAGCAAGTTGAAACACTATGCTTATAATTTAGAAATACAGTGGGCTCTCTCTCTGTGGGTTCTATGCACATGGATTCAACAACTGCAGAATGCAAGTATTTAGGGAAAATATTAAATCTATACTTATCAGCACAGACTTTTCCTTGTTATTCTCTAAATAGTGAAATAAAATAACTTTGTACAACTACATGTATTATGTATTATGAGTCACCTAAAGGTGACTTAATGTTTATAGGAAGATATTTATAGGTTATATGCCAATATCATGTCATTTTATATAAGGGACTTGAACATCCACAGATTTTGGTATCCTCAGGGGATCTTGCAATCAATCTCTCACAAATAGTCTTAGCCAGACTAATTTTCCACATTTTCTCTATTGTTCCCTCTTCCAGTCTACTTATTGATGAGACTTTACATTGACATTTGAGAGTTCTATGGGGAGGGGAAAAGTTGGGAGCTAAAAGCTGGGAATTCATTTGATTTGTCTATAAATGGCTGGATGACATCTGGATCACAAATGGTAATTACCAATTTATTCTGCAAGTGAAGACATTCTGAGCCCATGCACCAAAGTATATGCAGATATTTTATTGCATAGACTATTAGGAATGGAAATAATCTCAAAGATAGATGGCCTCAGGGACATTCATGAGGTCGGTCTTCATGTGCCCTCATTTAGAAATGATGTGCTTTAGACAATAAAGATTTTATGCCAATTTCCTCTTAGTTGACACTTTGTGACCAGCCACTGCTATAGTAAATTAGCTTCAAATACAGTTAGATCACACAAGAAATGATTAGAAATCATTTCTTAGAAATCATTTCTAAGATGGATCTAGTAGGAAGCTCTTCAGCTTTTGGAAAAATTTAAGGTCTGCTGATGCTAACTTCTAGGAAGACTGGGAACAGGTGCCCAAGAAACAGAGACAGAAACAAGTCTTCTGATGTGATGGATGGTGCTATGGTAATGCTAATATGTTTCTTATCTCCTTAATAAAAATGCAGTTTCTTAAAAGCACAATATTTTATAAGCCACATCCAGCCTTCAAGAGAAGTAATGTTTTTCTTACTTGTTTCCCTTTAGCTTACAGATATCTCCTCAAATAGGAAACACAGATGCCTGTATGTATATCTTTTTTATTCTTGGGCCATTGAATAATGGTTGTGTTGTATATTTCACTGTTGCATTTTTATATGCTACTTATAAGTGGATTTGAAAAGGTTAGGTGAAAGTTAACCTGCATGTGTGAACTGTTGATGAGACTCCAATACACTAACGTAGTATTTTTCTGGTCTTATCTGGTCGTTTTCTCTTTTTGGGGTATAGTGTAGTCATAATAACTCTATGCTACTATTAATGTAGTGTGGATACTACATTGCTTATCTGTACAATAGATTTTCTCATTCGCTTTGTAGTACTTAGTCAAGAGATATGGGATCTGGTCCCATCATCTCTATGTATCATTCTGGTTGCTGCTTAAAGGTGCCTCAGTTTTATCTCTGGTAATAGAATTGGTGTTATTTCCTTGGGAATTTAGTATCATGAAATCATGGAGGACACAAACTTTTAGGAAAAGAAAATTACCAATATCTGCATGCTCAACATGGTAGGATATAGACATGGTTGTGCAACAAGTACTTAAAATTGTTTTAATGTTTAAAAACATCTCTCTGTCTGCTCACCTCTTCGTTCCTACCCAACCTCTGTAGAAACCGAGGGCACCCACATTCTGTGTGTAACCACCCTGATCTCAAGGCCCATTTCCATCCAAAGGGAAGAAACTTCTTGAAGAAAGCCAAGGATGACAGAGGCGGCATGCAGCCTGCCAAGTCCATTCATGAGCAAGCTGAGTCCGCAAGAGAACTCTGTAGATCATCCAAGAAAGGAGAGCTGCTGGGGCTTAGCCGGAAAGGCAACCTCAGGCCCAAAATGGCTAAAAAGAAGCCAACTGCCATTGTGAACATCATCTAAAAGGGTAGGAGGCTCCAGGAGCATCACCATTGGGCTCTGAGGAACATTGCTGTAAGGGCCAACTGTTTTGTTCTTTGGATATATCCTGTAGGGAGACATATTGGAAAAGCAAAGAATGTAACACATTTAAGCACTCCATTAACCAGAATTTAACCAAGGGGAATCCTAGTGAACCAGAATTGTAAGACAACCTCCTTCCAGATGCAAATCACCTAAAGAATAAACACACAACAGAAAAAAACTATCCCATAATTTTAGTAAAATAAACCTTCAACTTGGAAGTTTGGCCCAGTGTCCAGTAGGGTGTCTCGGTCTGAACATTGTGATCATTAATACTCAGGACCAATTCTACACAAGATGTCAGGCTCTGGGAGAAATTTCACCTGTGCCCACTGTTCTTTTACATTGTGAGAGAAGGAAAAGAAATAGAAAGCTCTTTTGATAGCAGTGTTTAACCTTCAGTTTATTTGAAAGCATCCAAAATAGCAATTCATTTTTCATTCCCTCATCCTTGAGGATTCTGGTTAATTAAGACTCTGATCTTTGGATCACTTAAGCGATTTGCTCAGTCAGACTTCAGTCTTCATTTTGACAGATCGTGTTTATTTGTTCGACTCAGATTTTAAATTTTTACATGCATGTGTATTTGGATCTTGACACACCCATGCTGTCTTCTTTAGCTGAGTACATTGCATCCTCAGACGATGCTGTGAACCTCTCTCTTAATAAGTGCTTCTGTGGCGGTGGTCAGGAAGCCAATAAAACCCTTGCAATCAACAGTACCATTGGTGTTGTGCCTGAGTACAAGGAATGCCAGTAGAGGCCACACAGAGTGCATTGGAACCACTCTGGACATGCTGCAGGTATGCCTCAGTCTTCAAACATCTGCTTCCCTGGTATGCCAGTAGCGCATGTGCGCTCCCTCTCTCCTCTCCTCTTCCTCTCTCCCCCTCTCTCCTTTCTTCTCCCCTCCCTCTCCCTCCCTCTTCTCAGTCTCTCTCCCTCTCCCTCCCCCCTCTCTCTTTCTCCACTATAGGCATGCCCTTCTATTCACTGGCTTACCTTCTAAACCAGCAGCTCCAGTCACCTCCTGCTGCTTTTGTGCTCTTGTAAAACTAAAGTATACATTCTTTAAAAATGTGGCATATACACACAATGGAATTTTACTCTTCCATCAGAAAGAATGATATTGTACCATTCGTAAGGAAGTGGAAAGACTTGGAAAAAAAATATGTTACTCAAACTGATCCAGACCCAAAGAAACATCGGGTTGCATGGTTTTTTTCAACCAAGTACTTGAGGTGTTCATTGTACAGTGCATTCTAAAGTAATTTCTGAAATAAACAATGCATGTAAAATCTGGAATATGACACTCTTCTCCCTAAATGGCTTTCATTTCTATAAAGAACTTTTATTTTCAGTCGTGGGGCTTGAACTCTGGGCCTGGGCACTGTCCCTCAGCTCTTCATCTCAAGTGCTCTACCATTTGAGCCACAGTGTTACTTCCAGTTTTCTGGTAGTTTATTAGAGATAAGAGTCTCCCGGACTTTCCTGCCCGAGCTGGCTTTGAAGTGTGATCCTCAGATCTCAGCCTCCTGAGTAGCTTGGATTACAGACATGAGCCACCAGCACCCAGTAAGAACTAACTTTTAAAAACCTTTTGTTTTAACATTTTCTACAGGAACAAATTTTCATGAATTCTTTTCCTTAAATTTAGTTACATCATCAGGTCTCAGGCAGAATTTAAAAGTGTTGACATCATTCTAGAAGCAAGAATAATTTGTCCATAAATATATATAAATATATAATATACATATAAAATATAAATGTCAAGTATATTAATTTATTTTTAAATATTCATGGAGAAAGTGTGTGTGTGTTTGTGGTGGGTGGTTAAAAATGATCTAAGTTTGCTCATGTAAATTGAATTCTCTTATTTAATTAAAACTGTAACCTAATTAACATAAGTAGGATTATGATTGTAATTGCAATAAGCATCAGATTAGCAGCACATTAAAAATAGGTAATAAAACAGTTACTTAAAATGCCAGAAAAATGAAAAACATAACTTATCATTTTCAAATATTTTCAGTGTTTTATAGTGAACGTGTTATTTGAGTGGTTGATTTGACTTTGAACTTGTGGGATAGACCATTTTTGTGATACTTAGCAGTTATCAAGTGGGAAAAATTATTGCTATGAATATCACTGTTTAGGCTGATATTGTAAAAAATCATGTAATGATGTTATTTATCTGGATAATTAATCTCCTCCAAAGTTCTTTATTCTTTATGCTTACATTATTGATGCTTATACCATTGCATTTTAGAACATTTTGGAACATGACTTGTTTGGCTGTATTGCATGCTTTTCTTTTGTTCTGTAATGTATGCAATGACAGCTTCTTTCAAAAGTTTGCATAGCTAGATTATTTTTTTCCATTTTATTTCAGATAACTCAAGTTGCTTTTAAATGTTCATTTAACATGATTACAAGACATAGTAGCCTTCTTTGACAGTGGTACCAGTGATCTTGGGAAAGCATCATGCTATTATATCTACACTCTCTGTATTAAGCAAGACAAATAATTTGGGGATTTATTTGTTACATTAATTTGAAATTTTTCAACTGAATTCTTATCCCCATACCAGGAAATGTTTTGTGTATATTGTACTACCTTTGAGACAACAAACTTACTTTTGAAATGTAGAATAGTGTCCACTTACACTTCATGGCCTACGGCATGTGCCATGTTCCACTTCAGGTCTTATTTTAAAAGTTTCCTTGCCACCACAGGCAATCAGCCTTAGAATTGAGGCAGTGGGGTTTTTTGAAGACATCACCAAAGTTTCTGGGAAAACATGTTCAAGATTAAACTGGGGAATAGATAGAATTTTATTATTTGTTATGTAGGGAAGAACAGTCTTTCTTTCCATTTTCTTTCTTTTCCCAAACCTAATGGTAGATTTTTATCTGCAAAGTTCAGACTGCTTAGACACTGTTTCCCAGTATTCTGCAGGGTCACTTGTATAGAAGTTGGAATATTCTGTTCCCAGGATTAAAAAAGAAATTTTTAATTATAAAATATTATGATAATAAAGCTATATTTCTGACAAATGTGTTGGTATGTTTTGTTTAATGTTTTTGGGGAAGCCAGGTTTGTTGGTTCATTAACAGTGTACAAAATGGTCTTCCAAAATAAGCTGCACACCGTGTAATAATCACTTTGACCTTGTTCACCCATAAACATTCTTGAAAACTTACCTTGATTGTTTCTGTTCATCTGATGTCTATATCCAAAAGTTCTTTTTGCCTATGTTCATGCTGTGACATCTTCATCACCAACCCATTTGGCATTTCCCCATCTTCCTCCACAACTATGAGTAATTTTCTTAAATCATATTTTTTAAACTCCTCAACTTTCAGCAAAAATTATAGGCAGATTTCATAGTGTACATCCCACCCCACATACATCAGTGATAGTACTCATTGCGAAGCCTGAAGAGTGATTAGACTGGACAGCAAAGAGAAGTAAATCACTGACAGAATCACTCTGCCATTGGTCATTTAAGAGCTATGGAATTTAGGGGACTCCATTTGCCCTAAGTTTCTCTTAATACTTAACTGGTATTAAAATCAATGGGCTACTAGGTTATAGGTCAAAATTACATTTATATTCTATATCTTTTATAATTAAAAAATTACCTTTAAGTAAAGGTTTCTATTCAGTATATCAGTTTATGAGTACAATCCATCTTGATCAATGCATCTCTTCCATCATTTATCCCCAACAGCACCCATCCCCTCAAGTTATCTGGTTCCATTTTTACATAGGTATGTTGAATATTAAAACTCTATTTTCTCACCCTCTCTATACATTTTCCCTCCCTCTTCGTGACCTCAATCCCCTCCTGACATATTTCAGTTTCTTGCTCATTTTGCTAAAGTATAAGTTGTTCAAGGGAGTTACACCATTGGAATCCTGTGTTTACCATACTTACTTGGCTTTTGTCACTCATGGCTCTACCCCCTGAGCCATGGTGAAACTTTTCTGAGAAATACGTAACATACCTGTTCACCGGAGAATATTACTGCCTGCACAGTGTAGATCCTTCACAAATGAATTCCAGGGATGGCTTATATGCACAATCCTGAACATAAGCTGGGAGAAATTTCAAGTATTTCAAATAGAACATATAACAATTTGGATTTGATTCTTACTTTGTGGAATGAAATTTTTTTGGTCTACATTCTGTATTAGTAAAACGGACACACATGAAATTTCCATTTAAGAAAGAGCTACTTAGGCTGTTGCTCTATGATCTATTTAAAGCTCTTGTTCCAGGATAGAAAAGGATGAGCCAGTGGAGGAACCTCATCTGTAGGCTGGCTGAGTTCTGCCCATCCTGCAGTAGGGACTCTGAAAATGTTGGCCTATGTGGTGGCAATTGCCTAAAATGGTAAATGACTTTAGTCCCGTGAAAAGAGATACAGTAACTGTCTTCAGAGATCTGAACTGTCACATGGAAAAATACTTGCTTTGTAGCCATCAAGGCATTATTGAAATTGGAGAAAGAGAGTTGTAAATAAACAGAAATCCAAACACAGTGATTTTTTTTTCTATTTTTCTTTGGTGGTACTGGAGTTTGAATTCAGGGGCACATGCTTATCAGGCAGTTGCTCTACCACTGTTTTGATTTAGTTTATTTTCTACAGGTTTTGTGGTCTTGCCTGTTGACAAGACCAATATCTTCATATCTAAACAACAGGTACATAGGCATGAGCAAAATTGCCTGAACTTGAATGATAAATTTCTAAGTGTTCACACAGAAGAGGTTATCATGTATTAAAGCAAGTCCTTGGTCTCTGAGTTACTTTATATGGTTGGTGGGATTCCATATTGGGTAGGAAACTATAGCCCTGAGATTCTGTAGTTTAGTCTATGACTAGGATTGTAGCTAAAGTGGTAGAATGCTTGCCTAGCAGTCTGAAGGCCTGGAGTTCAAACCCTAGTAAGTTAATGAACAGCTAGCTTGATGGGTACATAGATAAGATCGATAATATAGTAAAATTTAGATAATCTTAGGTAATAATATAGATAGGTAAAAAGATAATAAGAGTTCTAAACAGCAGCTACATTAATACAGATGTTGGCCACATAAAACTTAGTGTTGATACTGCAGATTGCTTTGGGAGATTTTATATCAACATCTTGGGCTTTGTAAACTTTTTCATAACACATACCCACAGTTATGTTTGTAGAGTCCTTTGAAACAGGAATGAGCAGGTATAATTTTGCTTCTCTTAGGTGGAGAAGCAGCAGTGGGAGAAATGGGAGACACACATCACAGCATGAAGTGCTTCTGAGAACAGAAGCATCTTACCTCACAGAGTGTGGCTTCAGTTTGC